TATATATATATATATATATATATATATATATATATATATATATATCCAGAAGAGCGCAGTCCTAGGAACAGCTAAGATACTGCGCAGAACCCTCAAACTCCCAGGCCTCTGGTAGAGGACCCGAGCTTGAGGATGACACATACCACCCCACGAGGGGTGAGAAAACAGTTTTTTTGTTTTTTTTTATATATATAATTTTTTTTTTTTTTAACTATGTCTAAAACTTTAGACTGAATTGTAAGGAGCTTCAACAAAATACAAATTCAAGGGTTTCAATTTATGTAACCAGGATAAGGCAGCTTATTCTGTATAGATATGTGCATTTTTCTCTTCCATCTTTTAATACTTACATTTTCTATGTTTTTCTTTTTTTTCGTTGAACTGTCAAGAATAAATGACAATAAAAGGCATGGAATTTTACACCATAACATGCACACTTGAGCTCTTTTGTGTATTACAGAAAATGAATCAGGATTTATCATTGATTCTTCATATACTGTGTGACTTCTGTTTTGTTTCTTGGACACTGGATAATAACCATAGAATAAAGTAAAGACCAGAGAGTGTTAGCAAAGTTCTCCAACTCTGAGCAGTAATTATAACTCAATCAATCGATTCAAAATCTCTATGAATAAACATCTAAAGTTAGAAATATGTCAATCAGACGTTGGCACGCATTTCAATAACCTGAAATATATGAATTATTTTCCATTAAGCCTCCATTCAACAGTAACTGCCCTCAATCCCAGCAATAAAAAAATACAAGGCACAATGCAAAACGAAGAAAAACAACTAAAACAAATAACCCATATGGATGTGGTCACTTTTCAAACTGTAAACACAGAGCAAGCCCTTTTTTTTGGTGAATGCCTTTTTTTCTGTAAATCTAGTTTGGGGAAGTTGATGAAAGGATTTGACAGCTTAAGTTGTAGCTATTTCCCAAGAGGATCACATACATAAGTAAAATTTTAATATTGCCTGTCACTTGACAAGCTCATTCACACCTGTGAACAAATCCTGCCTCCAGCATCAACACTCAAAGGTTATGAAGGCTTAGAGATGACATTGAAATTACCCCAATCTCACTGTTACCAAACTCGGAGCTGCATTGTTCCTCCAGATCAAAGAGATCCTGTAAGCACTCAGCACCAGAAAGATCTGGAGGATGATTTATTCCTGGTCCTATGTCTGACAATTTCAGGGAACACAGGAGAAGCTGGCGCCAATGTATAAAAAAAACTGCTTGTGGTTTTAGTTTCATTCCAAATGAGGTGAATTGGTATTTTTTGATGATTTAACACCACTGCCATTTAAATTATAATATGAGGTAAGCTACTACAAACACTCTGTGGTAACCTACTGGATGGAAGTGTTGATGAGAGTCAAGAGGAAGTAAAGAAAAGGTTGCTTTGTTTTTTTTTTTAATATAATTTTTCTGTGTTCTTTGACGGTACAGAGGAAGTAGTGAATATTTAGAAATATAGGCTTCTTGACTAATTAAGCTCAACAAAACAATAGTGCTCCTATTATTGCAAAAATTAGACACCCTTCTATGCTTTTAATTTTGACTCAAAAATATCTTTATTTTATGTTCCAAAACTCTGAACTCCTGCTGATGTGGTAAATTTAGGCTTACATACACTTTAGTTCTGAACAAATATTTATTTTTTTTTTTTTTTCTGAATTTCAAAAAATTTATGATTATATGTAATTTTTCCCCCTAAGCTATATTATTAATTTATTTCAAGGCTTTTTGAATTTAAAGCCCAATTGGAGGCAGCTGTTTTCTTTTATAATTCACCCATCTTTGATCCTTTTTAATACCTAAACCACCGCAGGTAAAAAAAAAAAAAAAAAAAAAAAAAAAAAAACATAACACAGATAAATAGGAAAAAACCTTCTTGGCAGAAGTTAAGTCTGGGATTATTTCACATTATAACTCTGTTAAAAGGAATAAAAAGATCACCTTGAGCTAAACAACACAGCTTGCCCGCCTTTCAAAGTCTTTTGCATGAGTTAATCTTAAACATCTGCCTCTTTATTTCAGCTTCAAAAACCAAGCTAATATGAGCAATAAGAATAAAGAGGATGGCATCAGTTGGCCTGTGCTTCCCTCATGTCTCCTTTCAGGCGGCTCTGAATAAATATGTCTGGTCTGAATGAAGCTTTGGCCACATGAGACACTCTGAAATTAGCAGTGACATTCCTGCCACCCAGAAACAAAACCAGAAGACAACGACGACACTATTTCTGTGACAACCTGATAAAAAGTCTGACATCACATTATTTTTCTCATTTTGACATGTACCTGTAGCTTATATGGGCTACTGTTAGTATGTACAAGTAGCAGCAAAAAACCACCAGGACAGTGATTATCAGACTATAAAGATTATCCCTTCCTACTCCTTCCTTCTGAATGGCTATAGATGCGGATGAGGTGGAATGTGTGGTTTTTATTATTTTAATTTGTAAAAAAATTTCAAAAATCTCTTTTTTGTTTTTTTGTTTTTTTTGTTTTGTTTTTTTACCTCCCTTCACCTGTTTTCACTTTGTGCCTTTTCTATCCCCCAGCAAGACATCCTATGGCACATTTTACTTTTAATTCTTCCGACAGTAAGCAATTACAATTTGGCACTTAAAATATAAATACAGTCATTCTTTCTTGTTTTTTTTTTAGAAAATATACTTAAGCACATTAATAACAGTAATACAGCAGTGTCCAGTGATAATTTGAGATGAAACTTTGGTCTCCAGATTACCTACTGGACAACAAAACACTGGTCATCATATGAAGGAAAATGAAATTATGTAAATATATTCTTTGAAATTAATAAATAAATACGTAATAAATAAATAAATACTTGATTGAAATGGTTGAAAAGTATCCTTAGAAAAAAAAAGCAACTTTATGACTTTCCGACATACTTGAACCCCTTTAAAACAGCCCTGATAACAATCACTGATTTAGCTCAGTTCCCAAAAGGGTTACAGCTTAATGCCACTGTTTGAGGTCATCGACGTTTCTACCGAGAACACTTTATTTAGCCATTGAATCTGCTGTCTAACAGTGTCCATTTGAGTCCCTTTTTTGTTTTGTTTTTTGGGGTTAAAAAGAAAAAGAAGAAAGAAACAAAAAAAAAAAGGACCCAGCCTGTTGCTGCAGAGGTGACAAAATGGCCAGAAGTCAAAAGTGCAATGTGACTGGCATGGACCAAACTTCCCTGCACGGGGAAATGATATGCAGGAAATGAGAGTGAGGATGATATGCTACGGTTTTGTTTCTGCATGCCGACAGCAGAGAGCCAAACTTACTTTACTCAATGTGTGCTACGTTTCCTGCCATACAGTTAGTTATTTCTCTCTCAATATCTTCATCTTTTTCTCTTCAAACTCTTCTCAGTTAAAACTGTCTATACACAATGATTTAATACAATTCCATAGGATTGTGTGCAAAATGCTCTTTAGGAATATAGTAATAACCATACGAGCCACAAAATTAGACATAAGTGCTTGTGATGAGGTATGAACACCGGCCACAGGAGAAACCATTGGCCTGCCTTCATGCCATCAATGGTTCCTCACTGATGAGGGTTGCAGCTCTGCTGTTTAGAATCTGACAAAAATAAAAAAAAATATGAATGAAATGAGTGTAATTTTAACTTGATAATACCATATGGCAATGATTGCTTCCACCAAAAAACCCAAAGCTAAAGCATAAAGAGTCATAATTAGAGGGATACAGTGTCTTGCAAAAAAAAAACAAAAAAACAACTTGTGACGCTGCAATCACAAACTTCCATATTGGGATTTTATGAGATAGAACAGCACAAAGTGGAACTACTGAGTAACTATTTACTTTTAAAAGGACCAAAAGAAGCACCCGAGAAGGATAACTCTGGAGGAACTGCAAAGATTCAGTGCTCAGTTGAAAAAATCTATTGACGCAACAACTATGACCCCTGTCCTCCGCAGGTGTGTTGTAAAGAGAGAGCCCCTATGTAAAAACAGTAAAGAGAATGCCTATTTATAGTGCTGTACAGGTCGTGTGAAGGGACACAGCAAATTGGTATAGGCTGCTCTGAACAAACACCATCTCCCTTAAGGGCGGGTTATATTCCTGCAGCTGTGTGTCGCAGTGAGCTTGTCGCAGGTATGACCCAGATATTTTTGATTTATGCCCAATTTTGAAGCGTGGTCTACGCTATGTCCACGTCCACACCACAACGCTAGAGGGACAATCACGAACTAGCTAGTATAGTGGGTGTCCGTGTGTCGGTTAGACAAGCTTGTTCGCCGTCTACAACCCCTCACCCAACGCTGGACGACACACAGTTTTATCCGTGAGTGTTCCCGAAAGACTGGCTGTGGAGCTGTGTGTTTTGGCACAGAGCTACAACGTTAACTGCGACACACACGCAGACGACCTGGTTTCTGAGCATAATCCAGGCTTTATCCAACATGGTGATGGCAGCATAATGCTATGGGGATACTTTTCAGTAGAAGAGCCAGAAAAGCTGGTCATTTGATGATGGATGGAGCTAACTGCAGTCAAATGCTGGAAGGGAAGCTGTAAAAGACTTCAGACTGGTACAGACATTCACCTTCCAGTAGAACAGCCGTAAACATGCAGCCAGAATGGCCTAGCTAACGATCGGATCTAACTCCAATCGAAAATCTGTAACATTTGCTTCTCGGGATCTTTTTCTTTTTTTTTTTTCCATTCATTGAATGTATGGACACTACATTGTGTTGGTCTTTCACATAGAATCCCCTCAAAAACGTATTCAAGTCTGTGTTTATAACATTAGAAAAAGTCTAAGAGACTCAAGTACTTTTACAAGGCACGGTATACATATATTTATGAGACTTAATGCTATTAAGAGCAGTTTTACCTGAAGTTTGATTTAAAAAAAGACATATGGCAAACCCTCCTCAGACATTTCTAATTTCCATTCATAATTCAGTCTCATCGTGTTTCTAATTAGGTACCTGCACCATTTCAGTCGTCCCGAAGCTCGAATGGATGGATGACAGTGAAGGGTCCAGTGTGCTAACATGAGGATGAGCCTTCATCTGACTTCAGTCAGAACTTCTTTTACAGAGGCAGGTCTGTGCTGTTGTGGCGAGTCTTTCTGGAAGTCCCATCATCCCTGGGGAGCGCCTTCTGCAGGTTGGACATGGCAGCGGTCTTCTTCAGGTCAATAACGGCATAGCACTCACTGCGTCTTGGTACGGGAGGGCCACATTTTTTGGGTGGTAGGCGCTGGTGCTGTGGCTGGGCACCCCCACTGCCGAGGGCTTGGCGGGAAGGGTCTTCCTCCAGGTCCACCTGGATGTAATTCAGCTGCCGCGATGCAGGTATGTGGCTGTGCTCACAACCGCCGACCCCTGAACGCGAACGCCTTCGGAAATCAAAGCTAAATATCCGCCCCCCGCTGTCTGGTCGACACACCCGTGGTTGCGGGGGACAAGGGTGCCGGAGGCGGGGCGGCTGCACCTGCTCTGTGTTGACATAGTTCTGCAGGGCGTCTCTGTGAATACCCCGACTGTCCTGGTGGTACCCATTGGGCGTCCCTGGGCCTTCTGAGAACTCATACTCATCAAAGTCATCCTCCTCTTCTTCGTATTCATCCTCATCCTGATCTTCATCGTCCTCCTCCTGCTCATCGTCCCGCTGCAAGGCGCTGTACTCCCACACAGGTGGCAGTGAGGGCAGGTTCTCGTAGTTGAGAAGAGCTGTCCGACGGTGGCCTCCGCCCATGCTCCTCTCACAGGCGTAACCTTGTGGGGGTAGAGAAGAAGGCCCATGGCCGTGAGAATGCAGCAGGGAGTGTGAGTGGCTATCCCCGGTGCTGCTGCTGCTGCTGGACCCCACAGACTGAGACACACTGCTGGGGCTCAGGCGCTGCTTGCGGCCACTCCGAAGGTCGTTGATGTTCTCGTAGGTGAGCTCGCCGCTCTGGGAGCTGTCCGGGTGCTCGTGGCTTGGATGCCGGTGCATGTGGTGATGGAAAAGATGGTAGGAGTGAGAGTTGCACAGGTGCAGTGTTGGCTCGTCCCCCTCAGTCTCTGAGCCTGTGGCGCCCTCTGCTGGCTGAAGGTTGTGAGGATTGTGACCGAGCCTCTCCCTCTCAATGAGATGCCGTTGAGCTGGAGTGGGCCCAAGCATGAATTTGACTTCCTGCGAGGACGGCTGAAGGAACACCTGGGGGTCTTTGCGCTCCTCAAGGGGACAGCATCTAAGGTTGGATTGTGGATTCCCTTGACCTCCGACAGGCATGGCTCCACGTGTCGTTTCGGGCAAAGCACTGGGTCGCACCTCAGGCAGAGAGTGCACACAGTGACGCATGGAAAGATCCCCGTCCATACTCACAGTATTCACATACGTGTGAGTCTGTTTGGAAATACAGAGCAAGGTTTCAAGCTTGGGATTCTCAAAGGTAACATAAACAAGTGAGTGCAAACAGGTCTGACCTGGTCTTCCAAACCCATGAGACTGTGTCCATGATCTTCTAGAGATGGTTGGGAGGAGTCCCCTCTGATGGGATAACCTGGATACCCATTTGGAAAGGACTGCACAGGAAAACCTGGAGCTGCACAGAGGAGTGAAACCAGGGATGTGACAGTCAATAAATTTTGTTTTCTTTCAACCAAGTGAAAATATTAAACTGCATTACCTATTACCTATTATCCTCCGAGTAAAGAAAAGGGGTAAGAAAATCCTACAAGTAAAGGTTGGAGATGGGATGGGGAGTGTGTGAGAGTGTGAGGTAACCTGATTCTTAGGGCAGAATTCAAGACCCTTTTGCAATACTTCAGAAACTACCCAAACATTGAATACCTCTGGTTTATATTAGGTTTTAAATAGGTGTGACAGCTCACTGTCACTCTTAATGGCTAAATTACATCCCAAGTTATCAAGATGTGTGTCAGAAAGGCCCTGTCAGAGAAATCCAAGTGATCATTTTTGACACAACTTGCAGAGTAAGGTTGCCAGATGGTCTAAGAGCAATGTTTTGATTGTTCCGACCAAATAATGTAAAGTTATTTGTAGTTTGACTGAAAAGCTATTGCATAAAATCACAATAACATACAAAGTAAGAAAAACTTCTCAGTTATTAAGAGTGCTTAGCTGTACATATAGACCCCGTACATACAAAGGTAAACAGTTTTACGCAATTTATTGTTCAAAATGGAAAATCTGGAGGAAAGAAAATGTATAGGTGCTTGTGTAACAAAACAAAACACCTTAAAAATCTACAACCAGATTTTCAGCCATTAAGGATAATCAACAGAATTTTAAGTAGGATAATAAACACAAATTAAAAAGAAGATGCAGGGGTATGCTCAATTTATAACAAAAACCCCTTTGAATAGCAACACTACCTTTTTTTCAATAAAAATTTACTTTTTAACCTTTGAAAAATATTTACTATCTGATGCTGCAGAAGATGTCTGATTTAGACTGTAAACTTGTGATTCATATTTTTTACCACTTGAGGGCAGTAGAGGAATATATAACCACTGTTGCTACACAACCATGTAAAAAAAAAAAAAAAAACATTTTCAAATTGAACTCTTCATATTTCTCAGTTCTTTAAGTTCAAGATAACATTTAAAATGAATGTGGATTTATGGTAACAAAAAAAGTAGTGTAATAGTAATTAGAGTGTAGTTGTAGGGAGAGAGTGAAGGAAGGAAATAGTTAGATCACAAAGAGGAATTAGCGTCAGAAGAAAGTAAAGATGATGAGACAGAAGATATTAAACGGAAAAGGGTCAGAAGAAATGAGAGATAAAATAAAAGGCATAACAGAAAGAACACAAGGAAGGGAAAGAAAAAAGATATCGAAGAAGGAAAGGGGAAAAAGCTAAAAACGGGAGGAAGAAAAATGAAAGGACAGAAGTGGGATGTAAACCATCCAATGCATTTCTGAAGATATAATCCAAACTTAAAATATAGCTCCTGATTATAGCTCCTCTTCCTTCCCTTGTCAAGTGGGAAACAGTAAGAACTCTGTAGTTGTTAAAAAAGGAAAAAGAAAACTTTGGACTGCTCTGCTGAATCAGAAGAGGTCTTTAGCCTTATGAACGTCATTATATGATGGAAACACAATGGATGATCAAGGTCAAGTTGAAACTACAGCCCTTCAGGAAAGAAATCCAAACAACCCAATTTTTCCAAATATAGAGAACAGCCTAAACTCTGCATTATAAAACCCAAAATATAGCAGTTTAAGACTCAATCCCGGCTTCAGGAAGCTTCTCCTTCTCCTGCTCCAGATGGTGTTACACTCCAACCTGGGGTCTCACTTAAACATTGTCACAATCCATATAGCTAAAAAAAGCCAAATGGAATGTCTGGAACTCCCTACACTAAATGAACAATCTATGGAAAGCACCCAGCTCCTTCTTTCTATCTCCTTCCTTACTGCCAGCACTATTCAATCGTCTATCATACACGTAGATTACCATCACAGTAACTCAAAAGAGAAAATATTAAGACAAAAAATTTACCTAGTGCTGCTTTAAGAAGATTTAATTTTAAAGTGTGATAAAAAGAACAGACTGAAGATTGCAGAAACCCTGGCAAAGCATCGCCGCATGCAAGTTTGCCAGGGATTTAATGTGCAGGAGTAACTCACTGTTGGGAGTCTGTGGTGTGCGAGACATTTCCATTTCTGGTGTATGGCCACTGCGACTGATCATCATTGACTCCTCCACCACGTTGATGCTGTTGCATTGCATCAGCTCCTGGAGCAGGTTGAAGATCTCTTCAGCCCGGGAACATTTGAATGCAAAGATTCCTGGTCAGAGGATAAACAAAACATGGCAGGTAAGAGCATAATCGCCAATAAAATGGGATCATGGCTAAGAATGACATACATCAGCCATACAGAAGGTATGTAAAAGTGTTTTATATGCAAAGAAAGTGAAAGAGGAAAAACATTAAATAAAGTCAAAGAATATAATTTAAGAATGACATAAAAATAGAAAATTACAGTGACAGCTAAGGGATGACAAAAACGATACCAATAAGAACTCTTCTAACTTTTCTTTAATAAAATATCTAAAACTTTAGCCACAACCCAGATTATTGCTCAAATGTGTCTAGAAAAACCCATTTCATGATGGTCTCCAAGCAGGAACACCGCCCTACACTTTCAGTAGGCTCTTCCTACTGAAAAATAAATAAAAGAAATGTCTATAAAACTGGAAAATTACTATTTTTACAAGGAGCACTTTATCTTGACCACTCTTACTTACAACTAAGTAAGATGAGAGAGAATTGAATTCAAGAAAGGCTGTGAAAGTTACAGTCCAGCTAAACCTGAACATATCTACACTTAAAGAAATCAGTAGAAACATTAAAACAACCAGACCTGCAACAAAAAAGATAAATGACAACTAACAGTCATCTTGCCACCAGACACAAGAAAGACAGTAAACCTCCATTCTCACTTTTTCAGAACATAGCACAGAGAATCCTATGGCGGTCAATAGGTTTTCATCGTTTGCTTTCAAAGTCCTGTATCATGCTTTTGTTTTATTTCAATTCTATTCTGTTTTTTTATATCAAGCCACTTAACATACACTTTACAGATACTAGTGTTGTCAAAAGTATCGATACTGAAACGTATCCAGATACGATACACATTTTCAAAAGTATCGATACAGTGCTACCACCAGTGGCACCTAAACAGTCATTCATCTAAAGTGCAGAATAGAGGAAAATGCACTTTCTGAAAATTGTCTGGTTGAATAATTCTGTGCGCATTTCAGTTTCAGGCTTTTTTTGTAACAGGTGCAGCTGCTGAGAATTATTTTTGTTTATTAACTGGTTTGGCTAGCGTCATTGCTATGTGTGCAAAGCATAGCCAAGGAAGGAACACGTGATTTTATTTTTAGAAGTTTTTTTATCAAGCTTGCTTAATATTGTGCACAGCATACAACCTCAAAATATTGTTCTTATTGTTTATTGAATTTATTTATTGTATTTTATTTATCAATGAAAATATTTCTGTTGAATTTTGAAGTCTGTTTTTATCCTTGTGTTTTTGAAAATGGTATTGAATATCGAATATTTTCCTTAGTATCGGTATCGAGTTGAAAAGTTTAGTATCGTTACAACCCTAACAGATACAAATGTATTAATGCGGACATATTGGCTACAGTTTTTCCAAGTAAACTCTGGTTGAGTCTTCTGTGATCCCTCGCATCGAACATGCATGTGGTAGAGGAAAAATCCCTTTTAAAAAAACAGAGACCTCCAGCACAACCAGACTCAGTGTGAGCAACCTTCGCTTATGCAGATGCACAAGTGACACAAGACGCACAAAAGAGGAACATAGAAGCACTAATCTTTAAATACTTTCATTGTTAGAAAACGTAATGGTCAACAACACTCCATAGGTGGCTCTGTCTGGGAAAGAAACAGTTAAGCAGATTAACACTGAGCCAGTTTTCATTACAGAAATAATAAAAGTTGGCACATATGGTTCACCAATGTAAAGGCTGAGCCCACAGCTATGTCTAGGAGAGAAACAGGACTAAGCACTGAAAAACACACCCAGCTCCATCATCTATAATCAAAGTTGTTGATGGCAGCAGCCCTGCGGATGCATCCCTCCATGATTATGCCATGGATTAACAAAGCGGCAGGCCAAATGAATCTACTATGATGAGCAAAAGCAGAGATTTAGAAGTTGAACTAACTCCTGCATTAGCTCTGCTGGTTTGAAAACAAAACTCAAATCAAGCTTATTCTTGATGAAGGAAGACAGCAAATTATGTTGAGCAACGCTGTAAGGAGAAAAATAAAACTGTATCTGAACCGTACCAGATTCAGGACAAATGTTTACCTTTGTACGCTTTGAATATCAGAGAATAGTATGGGAATTAGTACTTGGTAACAGCGAGTACTAAAATAAACGCACTTGTATTTGTTCTTGGGTTGGAAAAATCTGGTACTTGTTCATCCCTACAGCACTGTCTCATGGTACTTCTGGCAATAGGGCTCCTCTGAAAGCTGAACAAAGCTTGAGATTCTATCGCAGCTAAAAGCACATTTTTATGACAGACATTATCTGTTTAAATTAAATGGCAGTTGCTGTAACTTAAGATTAGGTGCAAAAACAGCCAATTTGTCTGAACGTTGAACAGAGACAATCATCCTAACATCACTGCTAGCTGATTGGAGAAAGGTAGGACCTTCGAGGTAGGTCCTACCTGGAGGGGAAATCACTGTTACAAGTACAACAGTGATGGACAACCCGATTCAAGGACAGGAGGAGCTTCTGCTCACAGAGCAGAATTGACAGTCATGAATAAAATACCACTTTGGTCAGGATTTTGATGAATGAAAAGAATTATAACTCAGTTAAAAGCTTTCAAAAGTTGAATTTGCATGATATAGGCCGTTTAAAGGAGTCATACCTCATATTTTGCTTTTACAAACCACCTAAAATTGTCTTTAAATTAATGCTTGACCAAAAAAAAGTTTAAAAAGCATAAAAAGAGGGGTTAAGGGAACTCAACCATAAGTTCCTCTATAATCAAGTGACACACTGTTACCCACCCTGCCCTGTCTGACAGCGGCGACCACTCTCAAAGGAAAACAGGTTGGAGTCATAGCCATAGCGTCGCAGGCAGAGATACGGCCACCGAATGGCGTCTCTTTTGCGAGTGTGAAGAATGAGCTCAGTCTGGGTGAGCTCCATGATCCCAGAGCCCAGCTCGTTTCCTTCATCGTCCACATTGATGACCTAAGGGTTGGCGAAACAGAATGACATCAAGATAGGGATGTTTAAGTGAAGGCAAAGCAGACACCAATCTTACCTTAATGTTTGTTTGTTTTTGTTTTTATTGTCATGTAATTTTTTTATTTCTTCCCTGCTTCTCTTTAAGAAAAGATGTGCTGAGCTGGTGTTTAATGCAGAATCTGAATGTGTCTCTTTTTGTTTCATTTTTGTATAACTAATGCTGCACCAGAACATTAGCTAATGCTGCAAATCTATCCATTTTCTACCTAAATAATTTATTATTATTATATCATTACTTAGGAAAAAGGGCATCAAAAAACATGCAGGAAGTAACCTGTTGACAAATGCAGATTCAGTTTATTTGTATAAAAAAGGGTTAGGTACTTGACATGTCTTACATGGGTCCTAGCCAATTATTTGGTTCATCGCTTTGAGAAAATTGGAGCATTAAATCTGTCTTATTCTGTGGTGTTAGTAGAAGTTTTTTTTTTTTATTTTGGAATGTCAAAAAAATAATTATAATAATAAAATCACTGTTTGGTGAAAACAATTGGATAAAGGTCATATTGCTTCAACTGAGATAAATCAATTTCACCAAAAAAACAATCTGGCTAGTAGAGATGGGTATTTACTAGTAAGATTAACTTGAGTAACTTTTTGGAAGAAAAGCAAAGAAACAAACAAATATTTTACTACATAATTTTTATATGTACTTGAGTAAACATATGATAAAACATCACTGGTCTCATATTTCTGGTTTCTCCATCCATTGTGTATAGCTTCACTTAATGAAAACAAGCTTGTTTTAAACAAATACGCAACGTTAAAAGAAACATTCTCTTCTTTTTTCTACTAAAGGCTCCTGCTGAGTCTCTCCTACCATTTAGAGGTTAAAGGTATAGTGAAGGATGTTCTTTTTCCAGGTGGATCATCAAAATAGATGGTCCGCCTAATTGTCAATCATTTTGGCCCTCAGTTAGCTGGCTTTTTCTGCAAATGTGCACTTTTATGTGGTGAGCTACAGTTTCAGCCAGTCATTGAAGCTTGCCTTTCTCACTGCGGTTCTTTCAAAAAGGCAGAGTCTCATAAGAGAAAAAGTGTCTATGAAGTTTATAAGAAGAAAAGAAAGGCCTCAGAAGAGAGAAACAAGACCAGAGTGTTTTTTGGGAGATTCTTTCACGCGATGGCGTACGCTGAAAGCACAGGTCATGCTTCCAACTGATGCCTCGGTTGCAAAGTTTCTACTTGACAGGTAAAGTTTGGCATGCTATTTGGATAAATCCATTTCACATTACTGCCAGTAAAAGTTATCTTCCTCTATATTCTAACTTTCTATGGAAGATAAGTTTATTTTTTTGTAATCTGCATCGTTATAAGGTGGCCACAGAACCTTATTTTCTTCGGAATTATGTCCTCATTTCCATATCAGGACACACACACATACAAGCATGCCATGATGCTTTAATGTACCAGTGGTCTCATTTGTAGGGATAAAGTTTTATATATAAATATATATAAATATGGCTGAGATTAGATCCATCTTATCACTGTGTCTTCGCACCTCCTCAAGAAGAAACGGGCTTGTGCAATGCCTCGCACACGTTTAATAGACAAGTGCATTTATCTTTTTAAAAATGGAGAGGGCGTGTCTATACAAAAATGTACGAAAATCCTCCACTATACCTTCAATTAAAAATACAGTAAATGGTATACTTTAATTTATTTTATATTTTATCTTTATCTTAATCTTTGAAACACCAGAATTTGCATATCACTTAAAAAAATCAGTTGTTAAGATCAGGGTTAGTCAGTCGATCAGTTACTCAGTACTTCAGTAGACTTTTTGCCAAAAACTTTTTTACTCTTTCTTGAGTAATTTCTTCAAAGGATCATTTTTACTTTCACATAATCAAAAATATGATGAAGTAGCGCTAATCTTGAGCTAATTGAGTGAATATTTAAGATCACTGGATCAAAGATCAAAGGTCATTTAATGCTACTAATTAAATGTTATATCCTCACTACTTTTGGTTAAGCATGTATAAAGATTATGCACTATGTACAAACCATTTTAGGGGGATAAGGATTAAAAAAGGACCTTAAATTTGGTGAGATGGTTGTCTCGGATGGGGTCTCTGTAAAGACAGCTCCAGCAGCTCCCCATAGCTTCAGCAGGTCAGCTGAAACCTGGAGAATAAGATCACTGTCAGCTTGAAACTACATGCCTACAAACACACAGGGAACAGAAAAAAAGAAAATAATGAGCTCTTTCAGGGATTCAGTCTTGAGCTTCTTACTCAGTCCAGGCCATCAGTGTAAAGGGATTCACGTCTCAATCCCAGGATCTTCTACTGGGCAGCTGCTTCACAGGCCAAGTAGCCTCCTGTGCAGACATCTTCGAGGGAGGAGGACTGCTCTGTCCCCTGAAAAGATCAATTTTAAATTATGGTCAAATATACAATCAACAATTAGAATGAATGTGACTAATTTAAGATTCATGACATGCATTTTTTTCTAGGTGGAACAAATAGACAAAAAAAATACTTATGCATTTGTCTTTCTGTTTAAACACCCAGTTATGTCTGAGTTTTAACCATTTATTTGTTAATAAGAGGTGAATCTGAAGGTAGCCCAAGCTTTTCTAATTACATCCAGTTTTTGCAATAAAAGCCGACCAATGGCAGAAAAACATTCCCCACAGCATAATGCTACCACGTCCATGCTTGACCATCTTTACAGTGTTCATAGGTTTGAAAGCCTCACCTTTTGTCATTTTGGCAAAATAGTTCAGTCTTTATCTCCTCTAATCAAAAAACTCATATTGCTTATCCATCTGTTGATAGAAGATTTAAGGCTAAAATTACCTCATAATGCAGGATTTCTACATGTGATTAAAAGAGCAGAGGTTTCCTGTATTATTTTTCTTGTCTGGATCAGTGAAGAATAAAATATTTCAGCATGGGAAAAACATTCGGCTTTTCAGAGTTTCATTTCCTAAAAGGAAAAATAAACAAACTAATGCTTAATAAACGAACTGCATTAATATATCGATTAAATCAAAAATCATATGACTTGTCTTTAAATTGCCTACTCATACTTTTTCACCTTTTATCCAACTTTTTTTTTTTTTACCTGCTGCCTGAATGGTCATTCATGCAAAATTCAACATGAAGCTATTTTATTACTTTTTTTGAATTCTCCATTACTACATATTCAAGATAAATTGGACCTTTTTAAATCAGGTCCAGTTAAAATGGATAACAAAGCACATACAAAGAACTATCCATCTATCTAAATATCCATCCTTCCATTCAATAACATCCATAAATGCATCTGTGTATGAGAAATTATAGATCAAAGTTTGTCGAATTACCTATAAAAACTGACAGAAATGTTCTTATCCAAACTTAAAAATCAGGAACCAGTGTGAGCATCCTGCTTCATAACTTATTGGATTATTAGTTTACATTTAATCACAAACAATTAGAATATCAAGATAATAAAGAATTTATGCTTGTAGATGACATTGACATGGTACATAAATAGGATTACTTGAAAATGTTATGTTATTAAAGAATACAAATAAAAAACATAACTTTAGGGTAATAACTACCAACATTTTAAGATTAACTGCACAACAGAAATATCGCTCCTACAAATATTTATCTCTGACCAACAAACTGAATAGTGAAATCTATCGAAAATTTAAAAAGGGGTCATTTCTAGGGCAACTAAGTATTATTTTGCAAATCGATTATTATCTTATTAATCAATTAATAATCGGGTAGTCAAAGGTTCCTTCAATCCAATCCACTTTATTTATATAGCACATTTAACAACAGAAAATGTTTCCAATGTGCTCTACATAACAAATAATAACCAACAATACAACACAACAATACATAAACACAATACAATAATAAATCAACTAAAAAAGGACACAGAGGACCACACAACTTAAGAAGATTTTTTTCTAAATTAAACCAGATGAAACTAAAATGTTCCACTTGAGGAGTTCTGGATTGAACATATTAACAGATCAAAAGTTTTTTTTTTTTTTTTTTTTTTTT